GATGCCACCGCTCCCTCCGAACACCACCAGCGCAAAAGGGGGGGTTAAGTGTCTTGCCCAAGGACACAACGACAGCAACAGACTGAACGGGGCTCGAACCTACAACCTTACGATTACAGGGTGGGCACTTAACTCCTGGTCCACCGACACCCCAGATAGGAGAGCAGGGGGCAGCCGGAGATAATTTCATTTCTGCCTTTCAGTTCTTAACTGGTCTTCAGTTCCTCAGTAAATCCAATAATTGGGTTTAAACTCGCCCATACCGTGCAGTGACTTTCTCCACGATCACATCCATTTTGCAGACTAACACTGGGATCGCAGCTAGGACCTCTAGCTTGGGATTCACCTTGAGCAGCATCCCAGTCTGAGCAGTCTCCACACGGCTGAGACTTTCCGTTGGTAAAGGGTGGCACTCCAATCGCCCTCGACTTCCGAAATCCTCCCACTCCAATCAGAAGAAATTCAGTAAATATCAGGCCAAAAATCCATAAGTCTTCAATGCCCTCCACGGACATCTGGGAAAGGCATATGATATTCCACTCCTTCCAGGAATCCAAAATATACCCCACCGGGTGCGTTCATCCAGACAAGCTGGAGACCCCCGCTCTGTTCTCATTGTTGAAAAAATCTTGTCAGTCGTGTTGAATGACCAGTCGACAAAATCCATGATTTGATATCAATGTAGTTTTCTGGAGGAATGCAGAGAAGCGCTCTGTAGGCAGACAGGACAGGACAAGGGCCTTGGGAAAGGACGAGGGAGGAGAAAAAGAAGTGTCTGTACTCTCCGGGTGGTGGAAGAAAAGGGTGTTTGTGAGGGAGTTTGTCAAATCTGAGCAAATCCTAATTAGGCCCGAGCAGCGAAAGCGCTGCGAAGGCCTCTTGTTTTTTGCTCTGTTTATTCTTTCTTTTTTATTATTCTCGTGCCCCTTTGAACGGCTTTTTGGGGACCTTAACATACCCCAAAACTCACAATATTTTGCACACTTGTCAAGCCTGGTGAAAAATTTGATATTTTAAAGGTCCCAAAAAAATCGCAAAGAAAATGGCTGAACAGCGCCCCCTACAAGGTAAAAAATACCCCTCTCCATAAAGCTTAGTTTATCGTACAGTTATGAAATTTGGTACACTTGTAGTACTCAACAGTCCGCACAGAAAAGTCTCTTGCAACCATGGTCAATATCAAACAGGAAGTCGGCCATTTTGGGTTGAAATGGCGATTTTAAGCCATTTTTGCCGTTTTTAGGGTCTGTTTCTGATTGGATTGCTCGATCATTTTTCGCACGAGCATCTCAAAAATTGTGTAAAATTGCTCAGAAGGGATGGGCGAACAAAATGAGACGAGGATTCTGAGTTTTCGTATATGCTGAAGGGGCGGGGCCAGGCCTCAAAGTTTGACTACTCGCCAAAAAAATTTAAATTGCTATAACTTCATAACTGAATGGAATATAGTTACCAAACGTTCTGTGGTCATTCATCATCCACCCACAAAGTAATTTGAATGGTCGGATTATGACATCACACAAGCCCCACCCCCTCAGGGCCAAAAAGGTCAAGTTTTACTGTGAAAGGTCCCAAAGTGTCCCATTTCACTTAATCACCACAAAACTGTAGCTGGTAACTCAAGACAAGTGGGGGTTGCTTGGCGTCACTTTATGGGAGTTTTCGGCAGAGGGCGGGGCTGCGGCGGCGCGGCGAAGTCAGGCGTACCGCCGTGGCCTTACGTTTGCTTCTCATTTGGTCAATTCTAAAGATATCGCCACGAAACTTCTTGTGAGTGATCCTAGTCCGGCCCCCCAAAAAATCTGATGAGAACATCCGGTGGGCGTGGCCTATTTTCTGAAACAGCGCCCCCTAGGACCATTAAAACTGTCAGCCCCAAGCCATGCTTTGACTGAGGATTACAAAATTTGGTACACTAATGTGGTGTCTCAGGACCTACAAAAAAGTCTCTTGGAGCCAAGTGCAAAGTCGCACAGGAAGTCGGCCATTTTGGTCCAAGTGCGCGATTTAGTGGTTTTCACACACGTTGTTTGGAGAGTGATGCTCCGTCGCCCTTTTCACCAATCGCCTTAAAGCTTCTGCTATAAGCTCTTAAGACATAGAGGAAAAAATTCAACCGTCGGATTTTAAATAAGTGTAAAGGTGTGGGCGTGGCTAAGCCTCAAACTTTGAACTGTCGCCACGCCACTCTTTTTTTCACAGCTCCCTATTGGACTCCTTTTACTCAATCACCAGGAATCTCTGGCAAATAGCAGCAGACTAGTTGAGGTCACTTGGTCTCCAGTACTGGCAGGTTTTGAAAAAAGGCGGGGCTTTGGTAGCATGGTGAAATTCGCCATCACGCCATGGAAATACGTTTGCCTCTCATTTCTCCATTTATCGTTATATCACCTCGAAATTTGTTGTGAGTGATCGTAGTTGGACCCCCGATAGAAATAGACAGCTGACGTTTGTGGGCGTGGCCTATTTTTTTATATAGCGCCCCCTAGGACCACTAAAACTTTCAGCCCCAAGCCGTGCTTTGACTGAGGATTACGAAATTTGGTACACTAAGGTGGTGTCTCAGGATCTACAAAAAAGTCTCTTGGAGCCAAGTGCAAAGTCGCACAGGAAGTCGGCCATTTTGGTCCGAGTACTCGATTTAGTGGTTTTCGCACACGTTGTTTGGAGAGTGATGCTCCGTCGCCCTTTTCACCAATCGCCTTCAAACTTCTGCTATATACTCTTAAGACATAGAGGAAAAAATTCAACCGTCGGATTTTAAATAAGTATAAAGGTGTGGGCGTGGCTAAGCCTCAAACTTTGACCTTTCGCCACGCCACTCTTATTTTCACAGCTCCCTATTGGACTCCTTTTACCCAATCACCAGGAATCTCTGGTAAATAGCAGCAGGCAAGTTGAGGTCACTTGGTCTCCAGTACTGGAAGGTTTTGAAAAAAGGCGGGGCTTTGGGAGCATGGCGAAATTCGCCATCACGCCATGGAAATACGTTTGCCTCTCATTTCTTCATTTATCGTGATATCACCTCGACCATTGTTGTGAGTGATCCTAGTCTGACCCCCAATAGAAAAGGTCAGCTTAAGTTTGTGGGCGTGGCCTATTTTCTGTATTAGCGCCCCCTAGGACCATTAAAACTGTCAGCCCCAAGCCATGCTTTGACTGAGGATTACAAAATTTGGTACACTAATGTGGTGTCTCAGGACCTACAAAAAAGTCTCTTGGAGCCAAGTGCAAAGTCGCACAGGAAGTCGGCCATTTTGGTCCAAGTGCGCGATTTAGTGGTTTTCACACACGTTGTTTGGAGAGTGATGCTCCGTCGCCCTTTTCACCAATCGCCTTCGAGCTTCTGCTATATACTCTTAAGACATAGAGGAAAAAATTCAACCGTCGGATTTTAAATAAGTATAAAGGTGTGGGCGTGGCTAAGCCTCAAACTTTGACCTTTCGCCACGCCACTCTTTTTTTCACAGCTCCCTATTGGACTCCTTTTATCCAATCACCTGGAATCTCTGGTAAATAGCAGCTGACAAGTTGAGGTCACTTGGTCTACAGTACTGGCAGGTTTTGAAAAAAGGCGGGGCTTTGGGAGCATGGCGAAATTCTCCATCACGCCATGGCAATACGTTTGCCTCTCATTTCTTCAATTATCGTGACATCGCCACAAAATGTCTGGTGAGTGATCCTAGTCTGACCCCCAATAGAAATGGGCATCTGAGATTTGTGGGCGTGGCCTATATTCTGAAATAGCGCCCCCTAGGACCATTAAAACTGTCAGCCCCAAGACAAGGTTTGACTGAGGATTACGAAAATTGGTACACTCATGTAGGGTCTCTGGACCTACAAAAAAGTATCTTGGAGCCAAGCGCAATTTCGCACAGGAGGTCGGCCATTTTGGTCCAAGTACTCGATTTAGTGGTTTTCGCACACGTTGTTTGGACATTGATGGCCCGTTGCCCTTTACACCGATCACCTTCAAACTTATGCTATGTACTTTTAAGTCAAAGGGGAAAAAATTCAACCGTCGGATTTTAAATAAGTATAAAGGTGTGGGCGTGGCTAAGCCTCAAACTTTGACCTTTCGCCATGACATTACTTGACTTAATAACTCCCATGTGCATGATCAGATCTAATTCAAACTTTGTCTGTGTGATCACTGACCACATCTCAAGACAACGACAATGTGGACAGCTGACATCACCTAAGCCCCGCTCCCTGACAACAGGAAGTCTATTGTTTTATGGTGAAATGCCCATATTTGTCCCCTCTAATTTAGTGAAAATGACACTCAGGTCATACAGTGTCTTCATGATGTTTTAAAGACCATTCAGATCTGATAGCTTTCCAGAAAGTGAGGGGCTTTGATGCCATGGTGAATGCTGGCGTGACGCCATGACCTTACATTTGACTGTAACTTCCACAAACGGCCTCCGATTTGCCCGAAACTGAATATGGCAATGAACAATCATGCCCTTTAGCCAATGAGGCACAAACGGTTGGTGAATGTTATATAATGTCACCAAAGCTGACCTCAATGGGACTTTTCTGTAGTTGGTCACAGCGCCACCTAGATAACGTTATCCTTCGATAACTTTAAAAAACATGGTCAGAATAGCATTAAAGTTGGTCACTGTCATCACACCACCAGTGTGGTAAAGATAGAGGATTCCCTAGTGGTGAGACATAAAATATAATGGTGGGCTCAAAGGGGATGCTGAGTCAGGGTGAGTTGCGGACAAGGTGGCCGTTAGCAGTTTCTGGTGTTGGGGTGGTCGACGTTTGTGTTCTGCGGACGTGCCCTGGTGCCCCGGGCTGCCGGCCAGGCCGGAGCGGCGCGGAGCTGCGAGGGCCGAACGACGCTGCTTGCAGCTTTAATGTAGAGTTACTCTTTTAATGTTGGCATCAGTTCCATCAGTTCTGACTGGCTTCATGCACAGCAGCTGGACCTAGTGCTCTTAAGAGTTACGCCAAAAGGGTTTTTCTAGAAGTGTTTTGTATTGCAGAGGACGCCTCGCTGCGTAGCCGTCTGACCGAATGTCTGGAGACCATCCTAAGTAAAGCTCAGGAGCCGTCCAAGTCCAAGAAGGTCCAGCACTCCAACGCTAAAAATGCTGTTCTGTTTGAAGCCATCTCCCTCATCATCCACCATGACAGGTGTGTTCTACTCTAAGCACCCTGGTGTTCCTGCGACAAGTAATGTGTCGCGCTGCAGCTTCTTGTTGTGTCTCGTTTTCCAGTGAACCCACGCTGCTGGTGCGAGCGTGCAACCAGCTCGGCCAGTTTCTGCAGCACAGAGAAACCAACCTCCGCTATTTGGCTCTGGAGAGCATGTGCACGCTGGCCAGCTCCGAGTTTTCTCACGAAGCTGTAAAGACTCACATCGAAACCGTCATCAATGCCCTGAAGGTGAGCTGAAGGTCACATGTGGTCGGTTTGCTCCAACAAGGTTGTTATCATTTGAAAAATGTTTTCGTTTTGTCTCCAAAATTTTTTTGTCTTCTTTGGTGACAAATTAATTTTTGCGAACAATAACAAAACAAAAGCTTAAAGTTGTACTTCTGTAAAGACTAAATTATGACAAATTGATCTACATTTTTTTAGACGAATAAAAAAGAATAGAATAGACTTTATTGATGTCCCACAGTGGGGAAATTAACTTGTTACAGCAGCACCAAAACTTTAGAGAATTATTTGAAGAACAATAATAAAAAAGGTGCATGTATATACACATAGGCAGTAAGCTATTGTTGTAAAAAAATATTACAATAAAAATTTACAATAACGAAAATCCCATCTCCCCATGGGAGAATGGAAAGAAGAACCAGTAAGCGAGTGGAACAGGCAGGACTAGACAACAAAAGAACCAACCAGAGTCCAGAGCTGGCTGCTGTTTGAAGAAGCTACTGGTGACCCCAGACATCATATATTGATGTCAGATTTTCATAGTGTTAAGCAATTTTGTCACAATTTAACAAATACTTCTAAAAAGTATGAAATGCCTTTCAAAGAACATTTAAAGGGATATTCCACCCCCAAGCGAAATTTTGTCCATTTCCGTATTCCCCAGAGTTAGATAGGCCTAAGTGAGAAAAAAGCATTTTGTAACCAGTTATTCTCCTGGGGTCTCATTTATCAAACTTTGCGTATAATCCTTACTAAAACCTGTATGGTGGCACAGTGGTTAGCACTGTTGCCTCGCAGCACGAAGGTCGCAGGTTCGAAACTCTGCTCCGGCCTTTCTGCGTGGAGTTGCGTGTTCTCCCCGTGCATGCGTGGGTTTCCTCCGGGTACTCCGGTTTCCCCCACAGATCACAACACGCCCTAGAGGTTATAAATTGTAAGTCGCTTTGGATAAAAGCATCTGCTAAATAAATAAACATAAATAAATATAAACATAAAACTGTACTTAAGCTCAGCAAAAAAAATGTACTTAAGCCAAGCAGGTTTGTGATCTATCAAACATGGAGTACGCACAGCTGCACACAATCTCTGCTTCATAAATCAGAAACTAACCAGAAAGGTTCTCAGGTGTTTCTGGATCACATCCCGCCCTCACCACGCCCACTTTCTGCCATAAATGGTCAATGCAAAGTGCCTTGTGGATCTCATGCACATACACAAGCTGGCTCGTTGCAGCGCTCCACCAATGACGACGTAGATCAAGGCAGATCAAGGAAGCTCAATTTCACCGAAGCAGAAATTGAGGTACCTGTGGGTGAGGTGGAGAAATGAAAGGAAGTGCTTTTGCAAATCAAATAAGAGAAAATCCACAGAGTGGCACAGCGTTGCTGAAGCCGTCAGTGTTGGGAGTTCTTCAGGGAGATCTGTGGCGGATATTAAAAAATGGTCCAGTCGGGATTCGATCCCCAGACTCCCGGGTGAAAGTCATGTGTGCTAACCAGTCAGCCAAAGGGACATCTCCCCTGACCAAGTAGCCAGGGCTCATCATCAATCGGGTCACAGTGACAGGACACACACTGTCACAGACGCATGACATTCTGTCTCAATCTGTCCCCCTGCTGATACTCTGCATTCCGCATTCTGCGCTTCAGGCTGTGTGTGTGTGCGTGTGTGTGTGTGTGTGTGTGCGTGCGCGCATGTTTATGTGTGTGTGTGTGGGGGGGGGGGTCTTGTTCTATGTGAAAACGAAGCAGTACAAGTGATAATGCTGCAGGATTTCATAATTGTATCCTTCACAGCAGCAGCACTGCAGGTGCTCTCCATGTGTGTAAGCCAGGTCCTTAGTCTGCTTAAAGTTGTGCACTTTTTTCTGCACGTTTTCTTTTATAAGTTTGTGTGGAAAGTTGCATACGCATGTTTCCGACACCGTTTTGTGCGTAAGCAAGTTTTATAAATGAGGCCCCTGGTCTGGCAGCAGGCTGTCTGCTTTAGCTTAGAATAAACAATTGAAGTTAATAGGATGAGGATCAGCACCTCCAAATCTGAGACCATGGTTTTCAACCGGAAAAGGGTGGCTTGCCAACTCCGGGTCGGGAGAGAGGTCCTACCTCAAGTGGAGGAATTTAAGTATCTCGGGGTCTTGTTCACGAGTGAGGGTAGGAGGGATCGGGAGATCGACAGGCGGATTGGTTCGACGTCTGCAGTGATGCGGACGCTGAGCCGATCTGTCGTGGTGAAGAGGGAGCTGAGCCAGAAAGCCAGGCTCTCGATTTACCGGTCGATCTACGTCCCAATCCTCACCTATGGTCATGAGCTTTGGGTAATGACCGAAAGAACGAGATCACGGATACAAGCGGCCGAAATGAGTTTCCTCCGTAGGGTGGCCGGGCTCAGCCTTAGAGATAGGGTGAGGAGCTCGGACATTAGGGAGGGACTCGGAGTAGAACCGCTGCTCCTCCGGATCGAAAGGAGTCAGCTGAGGTGGTTTGAGCATCTGGTCAGGATGCCTCCTGGATGCCTCCCCGGGGAGGTGTTTTCGGGCATGTCCTGCCGGCAGGAGGCCCCCGGGTCGTCCCAGGACACGTTGGAGAGGTTACATCTCCAATCTGGTCCGGGAACGCCTTGGGGTCCTGCTGGAGGAGCTGGTGGAGGTGGCCGGGGAGAGGACGGTCTGGAGCTCCCTAGTTGGGATGCTGCCCCCGCGACCCGGACCCGGATAAGAGGAGGAAGACGACGATGACGAGTTAATAGCAATAGTTAGAATTTTGGGTGCAAAAGTGATTAAAATTACTTAATGATAGTACCAATTATTCCTGGTGAGCTAAATAATCATGCTGACTGCAAATAAAAAGTAAGAAGTAACATGAAGGATTTGCCGGAGCCGATCTAGACTTGGGACTACATCACGACAAAACACTGCTGTAAGCAGCTGTTGCATGGACATAACACAGCAGTCAAAAAAGCCTCCGGCTTGCGTAAACAAGTACACATTAGCCACACTTCATACTTGTAGTAATTTATAATAGCCCAGCGCTATAACATTAAATAAAAGACCACTTACCGATACTGATGCACATCTTTTGGGATTTTTCACAAAATATGGATGGGACTGCCAATGTTTTCAGCCGCTGATGGCTTCTTCAACCGCTGTGTTATATCCATGCCTGGAATGTTCTTAAGCATGGAATAGACAAAATGTCATTTAGGGGCGTATTATTCCTTTAACGTTCAAAATTTATAAAAAAAAAAATACAAAACCATTGGTAAGATTATTATGTTATGATTCTTCTTCCAAACAATGCAACAAAAATTCTCATAAAATTAATATTTTAAATAAAATACAAGCTAATTGTGATGGAAACACAAAATTAAAAGTATTTGAGAGAGAGAGAGAGAGAGAGAGAGAGAGAGAGAGAGAGAGAGAGAGAGAGAGAGAGAGAGAGAGAGAGAGAGAGAGAGAGAGAGAGAGAGAGAGAGAGAGAGAGAGAGAGAGAGAGAGAGAGAGAGAGAGAGAGAGAGAGAGAGAGAGAGAGAGAGAGAGAGAGAGAGAGAGAGAGAGAGAGAGATTTTCACGTTGGTGTTGTTAACCTTTCCTTTACAGAATTGCATCAGAAGAAAAATAAATATATTTTAGTACATTAGAACAAGACTAAAGATGAAAACCAATGGGACGACTAAATTGTGACTAAGATTTAAAAAGAACTTTAGTCAAAAGACATGGACTAGAACTAAAGCTAAAATTTCTTGTCAAATTGAACACTGGGAGGCCCCCTAATAAAAACACGGGGATAAAATGAAGCCGTTGTGGTCAACGACACACTTGGAACGAGTACTCCATGCCTTTGTGGCAGCAGTAGCTCAACCGGTTGAGCGGGTTGTCCATTAATCGGAAGGTTGCAGGTTTGATCCCGGCTCCGGACAGAGAATTCTGCTGTTGTGTCCTTGGGCAAGACACTTAACCCACCTTGCCTGCTGGTGGTGGTCGGAGGGACCGGTGGCGCCTGTGCTCGGCAGCCTCGCCCCTCATCCCCACCAGTGTATGAATGTGTGTGTGAATGGATGAATGATACACTGTAGTGTAAAGCGCTTTGGAGTCCTTACTCTGAGAGGCGCTATACAAGTGCGAGTCATTTATCATTTGTGATATCAAGGCTGGATTACTGTAACTCTCTGTACGCTGGATTGGGTCCAACTGCTCTTCGACGTCTGCAACTGGTGCAGAACAGTGCGGCCAGGTTTCTGACGGGGTCCAGGAAATGGGACCATATTAGTCCTGTGCTGATAACGCTTCATTGGCTTCCGGTTTCCTATGGGGCACAGTATAAACTCCTTTTATTTGTCTATCAGGTTTTTCAGGGAAGTGCCCCTCCATACCTTGGGGATCTGTTAAAAAGACATGTATCCTCAAGGTCATTGTGCTCTGCAGGTCAGTTCCTGTTGACTGTGCCTCACTGCAGGTCCAGGACATGAGGACAGGGCATTTTCTGTTTTAGCACCGTCCCTCTGGAACAAGTTACCTCGTAACATTCAGCTGTCTCCATCTTTGGCTGCTTCTAAGAGTTGCTTGAAGACTCATTTTTATCATCTGGCTTTCACCGTTTTGTTCGGTGACTGGCTTTAACTGATTTTAATAGTTTTTATTTTTGTTTGCATTATCAGTTTTTTTCTTTTTGGTCTTAGTCTTATTGTTGTTTAGTTTTCTGTGTTTTATTTGTACTGTGTTCAGTTGTTTGGGTCCCCCTTGAGGATGATGGAAAGTGCTAAACAAATAAAATCTGATTGGTTGGTTGGTTGGTTGATTGAAGAGCTCTTTTATTTTAGGAAAAGCACACAAAAGAGCATACTGATACCAGCGGTCTGTAACCTGCCCTCCCACAGTGGCTCTGGGTAGCTTTGGCTGAAAATAATTAAAAAAACTAACTCATGCTTTTTAATAAAAAGCTGCTTTTCTTTATGCTTTGAGTGATTGAATTCCCACAACAGAATGACTCTACAACAGGGGTCCTCAATTATAATTGTCCGAGGGCCACTCACAAAAAAGACCCAGAAGCAAGAGGGCTGGACTGGGGGTGGGGGGATGGGGTGGGTTCTGCTGCTGTTTGGATCGCTGGCTGTAACGCACATAACGCACAAGCTTGCAATATAAAGCAGGACAACACCTGTCCCTCTCCAGCTCGGCTGTGTGACTGCACTAACCTGTCCTGTGGGACCCTCACCATGTGACCCTCATGTCCATGCTGTCTCTGGAGGAGCAGATATGAAACAAGACCTCCTGTAACTTAAAATTAACCAAAGCTTCCTCCCAGTTTCTCTTTCAGCTGAATTTAACATCAGTTTATCTTCATGGAACAAAAGAATAAAGTGGAACAAGAACTTCTATTTCTCTCTCCTTTTAACTTCTCCGTGTCCCTAAATAAAAGAGACCGACGATCACGCTGCAGCTGCTGTCACTGACCCCGCCCCCTCCCCAAGACCGGACCTCCCGACATCACAACACTCGGTCTGACTGAGCGCTTCCAGGAGAAACAATAATGAAATTATGAAAATAATAATGCGTGTTTGGAGCAGCGTCCTCCGATCCTGTCTCTCTCTCTCTCAGTCGCTGATCGAGCGAGAGGAGCGCGCCGCGCGACAACCCGCTCAATTAACATAATTCACGGCCCAAATCCAACAGAACCGGTCGGGCTGATTCGGTTCGGGTTCGGTCTCAGGTTACAACTCCAGCGCTCAGCCCTGCAGCACCACATGAAGGCAGACCAAAGTTTCCTACCCGGTAAATGTGGAGAACACCGCTCTGACAGATGTGGATGCTGCGCTGGTGCCGCCGTTAAAATCACACAACTACATTCCACTATAACTGGTTATGGGACTCGCATCTCATGCATTATTTGATTATTTTCCTCAGCTATATCTATCCTACACCTCCCGGTCGGCCGGTGGGGGTGGGGGGTGCGCTTGGGGTTTGAGGGCCACAAAGAGAGGGCCCGCGGGCCGGACGTGGCCCGCGGGCCGCCATTTGAGGACCACTGCTCTACAAGCACCAGTATTTACACAAATATCAACATCCTATAGAAAAAAGTATCCACTCTTTTTGCAAAAGTGTTTTTCTTATTCATTTAAAAACCTGCATGGTTTTCCACATTGCAGATACCTGGGTTAGACTGTGTAAAGACGGATGGTCTAAACTTCTTTCCTTGTGTTTCTGAGCAGACTGAGAGAGATGTGAGTGTTCGCCAACGTGCCGTGGACCTGCTCTACGCCATGTGTGACCGCAGCAATGCTAAGCAGATTGTCACAGAGATGCTGAGCTACCTGGAGACAGCAGACTATGCTATCAGAGAGGAGATCGTGGGTCATCAGGACAGGCCTGTTTCACTTTTAGGGTCTCAACATGAGCGCTCATCCTCACACGCTGGCCTCTCTTCCACAGGTGCTCAAGGTGGCCATCCTAGCTGAAAAGTACGCAGTGGACTACACCTGGTACGTGGACACCATCCTTAACCTCATACGCATCGCTGGAGACTACGTCAGTGAGGAGGTGTGGTATCGTGTCATCCAGATAGTCATTAATCGAGATGATGTCCAAGGCTATGCTGCCAAGACTGTTTTTGAGGTGAGCTCACTTTAAAATACTCCACAGCTGATTGATTGGGAGGCAGCCTGATTAAGGCTGATGACAGATTCAGTTCTTCTTCCTGGATGTGGGTTTTTCTCTCTGGAACAGTGGGGGGGGGGGGGCACTACAGATGCTGCAACGTTCTCAGGGAGCCTAAGCCACACCCATCTACTTCCGGTCCATGGGTCCCCAATTCCCTAAAAATGAGTGGCAGTCCATGGGCAAGTTATTTTCTGATCCCATTTGATACGTGCCACGGATTTCACACGTGATATCCATTTTAGTTCAGGGGATCCATGAGGCTGAAAGGGAAGGGATTTATGGTGTTTTTGCATCTGGCCTGACCGAGTCTGGACTTGGTGGCATTGGCCCACCCCCGTGCTGCCAGAATTTGTTCACGTAGCCTTCTCAGGAGCGCAGATGTCTCAGGTCACGTGGGCGGGGCAAAAGACTTGCAGAGAAGCCCGTGGTGTTTTGCTTTGTTAGTAAACAAAGGTGGCTGTGAGCAGTGTTGCTTTTGGAGACTCTGAAATAAGCGCACTGCTTCCTGAGAAAGTGCTGTGTGCTCCTCACAGCAGTCTGTCCTCGTGCGACTGGAGCAGAAGGTTCCAGCGGCAGCAGAGAAGAGCTTCATCCCGCTGCATGCAGACTGATAATGAATCGCGCATGCAGTTAGCCTCTGCTGGCTAATTCTAACCACCAATCGAAGCCCTCTTCTATAGGTAGGCGTGAACTTCATCCAGCCAATCAGACGGTAGTGGGTGTGTTGGGTGGGCTCCACGCTAATCGAACCACCGGAGAGCAAGTATGAAAAAACCGGTTGTCTGTGCACGGGAAAACACCGATTACCCAGATGTGAAAACAATGAGCCTACCAGGGCGGGGCCAGACCGACCCAGATGTGAAAGCACCATTAGTGTTCATATAGGAAGCTGTAACTGTTAATGATGCCTGCTGTAATGAAAGTATTTATAGAAATGCAACCACATCGTTCTGCTGTTTAAGGTCTCAGTCTCATCAGGAAACAGTTTAAAACACACTTTGAAGTTTCCTTTTCTGTGGTTTGTTGGTGGGGATGGGAGGTATGCGTGTTGCTTTGATTCCTCCTCTCATCTTGTTGAGAATTTCATCCACCTGTGTCGTGTTTTACTTTTGCTCCGTGAACATTTGAAGGCTCTTCAGGCTCCAGCATGCCATGAAAACCTGGTGAAGGTGGGAGGCTACATTCTCGGAGAGTTTGGAAACCTTATTGCTGGTGATCCACGCTCCAGGTACGTTCACACACACACACACACACACACACACACACACACACACACACACACACACACACACACACACACACACACACACACACACACACACACACACACACACAAACACACACACACACACACATTGAGGAAGAGAACATTAATCTAGAGCAAACATCTTTTCAAGTTTTTTTTTTAGACCTCTAGCTGCTCTCTAGATGCTAGCTGAGCTGGATGGTCTGCAGTAGGGCTGCACGATATTAGGAAAACCTGCGATATTCGATAACAGTGCTTAATATTGCGATATCGATATTACTCGAGATAAATGAACAAATACTAAAGTATGCAGTGTTGATGTCGTCTGGCGTGTGACGTCTGCTCTGGGTTCAAAGCAAACAAAAACTAATGCATGAATTCCATTACAACATAACATTTTTATTGCAAAAATATGCAGCTGCACCTGCTACTGTATTAGCAGCTGCACCTGCTACTATATTAGCAGCTGCACCTGTTACTGTATTAGCAGCTGCACCTGTTACTGCATTAGCAGCTGCACCCGCTACTGTATTAGCAGCTGCACCTGCTACTGTATTAGCAGCTGCACCTGTTACTGCATTAGCAGCTGCACCTGTTACTGTATTAGCAGCTGCACCTGTTACTGCATTAGCAGCTGCACCTGTTACTGTATTAGCAGCTGCACCCGTTACTGTATTAGCAGCTGCACCTGCTACTGTATTAGCAGCTGCACCTGCTACTGTATCAGCAGCTGCACCTGTTACTGTATTAGCAGCTGCACCTGTTACTGTATTAGCAGCTGCACCTGCTACTGTATCAGCAGCTGCACCTGCTACTGTATTAGCAGCTGCACCTGTTACTGTATTAGCAGCTGCACCCGTTACTGTATTAGCAGCTGCACCTGTTACTGTATTAGCAGCTGCACCCGTTACTGTATTAGCAGCTGCACCTGTTACTGTATTAGCAGCTGCACCTGCTACTGTATCAGCAGCTGCACCTGTTACTGTATTAGCAGCTGCACCTGCTACTGTATCAGCAGCTGCACCTGTTACTGTATTAGCAGCTGCACCCGTTACTGTATTAGCAGCTGCACCTGTTACTGTATCAGCAGCTGCACCTGCTACTGTATTAGCAGCTGCACCTGTTACTGCATTAGCAGCTGCACCTGCTACTGTATTAGCAGCTGCACCTGTTACTGTGTTAGCAGCTGCACCTGTTACTGTATTAGCAGCTGCACCTGTTACCGCATTAGCAGCTGCACCTGCTACTGTATTAGCAGCTGCACCTGTTACTGCATTAGCAGCTGCACCTGTTACTGTATTAGCAGCTGCACCTGTTACTGTATTAGCAGCTGCACCTGTTACCGCGTTAGCAGCTGCACCTGCTACTGTATTAGCAGCTGCACCTGTTACTGTATCAGCAGCTGCACCTGTTACTGCATTAGCAGCTGCACCTGCTACTGTATTAGCAGCTGCACCTGTTACTGTATCAGCAGCTGCACCTGTTACTGCATTAGCAGCTGCACCTGTTACTGTATTAGCAGCTGCACCTGTTACTGTATTAGCAGCTGCACCTGTTACTGTATTAGCAGCTGCACCTGTTACCGCATTAGCAGCTGCACCCGTTACTGTATTAGCAGCTGCACCTGTTACTGTATTAGCAGCTGCACCCGCTACTGTATTAGCAGCTGCACCTGCTACTGTATCAGCAGCTGCACCTGTTACTGTATTAGCAGCTGCACCCGTTACTGTATTAGCAGCTGCACCTGTTACTGTATTAGCAGCTGCACCTGCTACTGTATCAGCAGCTGCACCTGCTACTGTATTAGCAGCTGCACCTGCTACTGTATTAGCAGCTGCACCTGCTACTGTATCAGCAGCTGCACCTGTTACTGTATTAGCAGCTGCACCTGCTACTGTATCAGCAGCTGCACCTGTTACTGTATTAGCAGCTGCACCCGTTACTGTATTAGCAGCTGCACCTGTTACTGTATCAGCAGCTGCACCTGCTACTGTATTAGCAGCTGCACCTGTTACTGCATTAGCAGCTGCACCTGCTACTGTATTAGCAGCTGCACCTGTTACTGTATTAGCAGCTGCACCTGTTACTGTATTAGCAGCTGCACCTGTTACCGCATTAGCAGCTGCACCTGCTACTGTATTAGCAGCTGCACCTGTTACTGCATTAGCAGCTGCACCTGTTACTGTATTAGCAGCTGCACCTGTTACTGTATTAGCAGCTGCACCTGTTACCGCGTTAGCAGCTGCACCTGCTACTGTATTAGCAGCTGCACCTGTTACTGTATCAGCAGCTGCACCTGTTACTGCATTAGCAGCTGCACCTGCTACTGTATTAGCAGCTGCACCTGTTACTGTATCAGCAGCTGCACCTGTTACTGCATTAGCAGCTGCACCTGTTACTGTATTAGCAGCTGCACCTGTTACTGTATTAGCAGCTGCACCCGTTACTGTATTAGCAGCTGCACCTGTTACTGTATTAGCAGCTGCACCTGCTACTGTATCAGCAGCTGCACCTGTTACTGTATTAGCAGCTGCACCTGCTACTGTATCAGCAGCTGCACCTGTTACTGTATTAGCAGCTGCACCCGTTACTGTATTAGCAGCTGCACCTGTTACTGTATCAGCAGCTGCACCTGCTACTGTATTAGCAGCTGCACCTGTTACTGCATTAGCAGCTGCACCTGCTACTGTATTAGCAGCTGCACCTGTTACTGTATTAGCAGCTGCACCTGTTACTGTATTAGCAGCTGCACCTGTTACCGCATTAGCAGCTGCACCTGCTACTGTATTAGCAGCTGCACCTGTTACTGCATTAGCAGCTGCACCTGTTACTGTATTAGCAGCTGCACCTGTTACTGTATTAGCAGCTGCACCTGTTACCGCGTTAGCAGCTGCACCTGCTACTGTATTAGCAGCTGCACCTGTTACTGTATCAGCAGCTGCACCTGTTACTGCATTAGCAGCTGCACCTGCTACTGTATTAGCAGCTGCACCTGTTACTGTATCAGCAGCTGCACCTGTTACTGCATTAGCAGCTGCACCTGTTACTGTATTAGCAGCTGCACCTGTTACTGTATTAGCAGCTGCACCTGTTACTGTATTAGCAGCTGCACCTGTTACCGCATTAGCAGCTGCACCTGCTACTGTATTAGCAGCTGCACCTGTTACTGTATCAGCAGCTGCACCTGTTACTGCATTAGCAGCTGCACCTGCTACTGTATTAGCAGCTGCACCTGTTACTGTATCAGCAGCTGCACCTGTTACCGCATTAGCAGCTGCACCTGCTACTATATTAGCAGCTGCACCTGTTACTGTATTAGCAGCTGCACCTGTTACTGCATTAGCAGCTGCACCTGCTACTGTATTAGCAGCTGCACCTGCTACTGTATTAGCAGCTGCACCTGTTACTGTATTAGCAGCTGCACCTGTTACTGCATTAGCAGCTGCACCTGTTACTGCATTAGCAGCTGCACCTGTTACCGTATTAGCAGCTGCACCTGCTACTGTATTAGCAGCTGCACCTGTTACCGCATTAGCAGCTGCACCTGCTACTGTATTAGCAGCTGCACCTGTTACTGTATTAGCAGCTGCACATGTTACTGTATTAGCAGCTGCACCTGTTACTGTATTAGCAGCTGCACCTGTTACTGCATTAGCAGCTGCACCTGCTACTGTATTAGCAGCTGCACCTGTTACTGTATTAGCAGCTGCACCTGTTACTGCATTAGCAGCTGCACCTGCTACTGTATTAGCAGCTGCACCTGTTACCGCATTAGCAGCTGCACCTGCTACTGTATTAGCAGCTGCACCTGTTACCGCATTAGCAGCTGCACCTGCTACTGTATTAGCAGCTGCACCTGTTACCGCATTAGCAGCTGCACCTGCTACTGTATTAGCAGCTGCACCTGTTACCGTATTAGCAGCTGCACCTGCTACTGTATTAGCAGCTGCACCTGCTACTGTATTAGCAGCTGCACCCGCTACTGTATTAGCAGCTGCACCCGTTACTGTATTAGCAGCTGCACCCGCTACTGTATTAGCAGCTGCACCCGTTACTGTATTAGCAGCTGCACCCGCTACTGTATTAGCAGCTGCACCCGCTACTGTATTAGCAGCTGCACCCGTTACTGTATTAGCAGCTGCACCTGTTACTGTATTAGCAGCTGCACCTGCTACTGTATTAGCAGCTGCACCTGTTACTGTATTAGCAGCTGCACCTGTTACTGCATTAGCAGCTGCACCTGCTACTGTATTAGCAGCTGCACCTGTTACTGCATTAGCAGCTGCACCTGCTACTGTATTAGCAGCTGCACCTGTTACCGTATTAGCAGCTGCACCCGCTACTGTATTAGCAGCTGCACCCTCTACCGTATTAGCAGCTGCACCCGCTACTGTATTAGCAGCTGCACCCGCTACTGTATTAGCAGCTGCACCCGCTACTGTATTAGCAGCTGCACCTGTTACTGTATTAGCAGCTGCACCTGTTACTGTATTAGCAGCTGCACCTGCTACTGTATTAGCAGCTGCACCCGTTACTGTATTAGCAGCTGCACCCGTTACTGTATTAGCAGCTGCACCCGCTACTGTATTAGCAGCTGCACCCGCTACTGTATTAGCAGCTGCACCTGCTACTGTATTAGCAGCTGCACCCGTTACTGTGTTAGCAGCTGCACCTGCTACTGTATTAGCAGCTGCACCTGCTACTGTGTTAGCAGCTGCACCTGCTACTGTATTAGCAGCTGCACCCGTTACTGTGTTAGCAGCTGCACCTGCTACTGTATTAGCAGCTGCACCCGTTACTGTGTTAGCAGCTGCACCCGTTACTGTATTAGCAGCTGCACCTGCTACTGTATTAGCAGCTGCACCTGCTACTGTATTAGCAGCTGCACCTGCTACTGTATTAGCAGCTGCACCCGCTACTGTATTAGCAGCTGCACCCGCTACCGTATTAGCAGCTGCACCCGCTACCGTATTAGCAGCTGCACCCGCTACTGTATTAGCAGCTGCACCCGTTACTGTATTAGCAGCTGCACCCGTTACTGTATTAGCAGCTGTACCCGCTACTGTATTAGCAGCTGCACCCGCTACTGTATTAGCAGCTGCACCCGTTACTGTATTAGCAGCTGCACCCGCTACTGTATTAGCAGCTGTACCCGCTACTGTATTAGCAGCTGCACCCGCTACTGTATTAGCAGCTGCACCCGCTACTGTATTAGCAGCTGCCCCCGTTACTGTATTAGCAGCTGCACCCGCTACTGTATTAGCAGCTGCACCCGCTACTGTATTAGCAGCTGCACCCGTTACTGTATTAGCAGCTGCACCCGTTACTGTATTAGCAGCTGCACCCGCTACTGTATTAGCAGCTGCACCCGCTACCGTATTAGCAGCTGCACCCGCTACCGTATTAGCAGCTGCAGCCGCTACCGTATTAGCAGCTGCAGCCGCTACCGTATTAGCGGCTGCTTCCGCTACCGTATTAGCAGCTGCACCCGCTACCGTATTAGCGGCTGCACCCGCTACCGTATTAGCAGCTGCTTCCGCTACCGTATTAGCAGCTGCACCCGCTACCGTATTAGCGGCTGCAGCCGCTACCAAATTAGCAGCTGCACCCGCTACCGTATTAGCAGCTGCGCCCGCTACCGTATTAGCAGCTGCACCCGCTACCGTATTAGCAGCTGCACCCGCTACCGTATTAGCAGCTGCACCCGCTACCGTATTAGCAGCAAAACAACAAACTGCATGCATGCAGTTTCTCAGTGACTTTAAAACATCACCTCCACCATAAAACTTGTTCTGATGCTCCAAATACAGAAAAACATCCCTTACCAGGGTTTTTGAGTAAATAAAAAAAATCTGAAAATAAGTTTAAATGCTAAATAATAGTTAACATCACTTACATGCAACAGCAAACTCTCTCATTGCTACTGAGCATTTTCTCCACTTATGTGGTTATGATGTAAGGCTGTTGCTGTAACTGGGAAGTGAACTGTGCTGGGCCAAACTAGGAGAACATTAAGATTTTCTGAGGGAAAGAGAAAAACAATTGTCTACCTTTCAGAAGAGGAACTGGCAAAAAAACTACATGGAAAATATGTGAAAACGTTTGTTTTTGACCCCAAATTGAACAAGTTTACCTAGATCTTAAAAAGCAGCTCAGATGATGAAACTGCAACTGATTCTGATAACAAGCTAACAAATTGAACTAGCTCCTCTAAGATAAGCGGCTAGCAGAGCTTCTGACTGATAGTTTATGTGCAGCAGCAAACCAACTATCCTGATTAACAAGGTTATAAAAGCTCATAAAGGAAAAATCACTTTGATGTGTGGGGGAACTTTTCCAGGCCCTCTTTAGCAGGGTGGGACTGGGAGGAGAGTGCTGTAGCCTTTTAGCTGGAAGCTAACCGGAGCCTAGGGCTAACATCACCACCCGGTGGAACACCAGCGACATGAAGGTGGGTTGGTTCACCGGCACGTGTCGGAGTCAGCCCGGTTATTATCAGCTGCTTAACGATACCGAGCGGACTCACGTTCACGTTTGAAAGCAGCGCTGATTCCAGAAACATCAGCACAAAGTGCGTTCGTTGCTCTGAGCCAGCATGACGAACAAGGGAACGCTGCCGCTTACTCAGTTCGGGTGTTGCTTTCCATCCTAAAGCTTGGTTTATGCTTGACGCATTCACTTTCCGCGCGGTGATGCGGCTCGCGGCTGGAACGCGCTTCACAACTCGCAGCGTTTATGGTTCATGCGGCTCGTCTCTGCGGTGAGCCAATATTCTCCCAAACTGTAGGGGGCAGCATGGAGCTCTACGGCATGCATCCAACACTACACCATAGTAGAAGTAGAAATTACTGTTTACAACATGGTATTTCAGCATTTTTAACAGCGTTCTCGTCTTTTCCGACAGTGCGAGCTATTTCTCTCCAAGAATTATTAACAACATGTTGATCACGGTGATCTCTGAGAGCTGAATCATACAAATGTCTGTATTTACGAACCTCTGCCGTACTAGTTCTTGCCAGTCCGCCATGTTTTTCCGCGTCCGACCGTCCGCGTGGTTAGAAATTTTCCGAGGTGCGTGTTGCGGAAATCTTGGGCCGTGCGGAGACGCGGTGGAGGGGCGTGGTTGTTAAAATGACGCAAAATGACGCAGCTTTTCCGCGCGGAGCCGTGCGGACCTCGCGGACGCGTCAAGCATAAACCAACCTTTAGGGTCTACGTAGGGGGCGGGTGTATTACGTGAACGGACCCATCTGATTGGCCGCATATCAGAAGGGCTACATTTGATTGGTCAAATAATACTTCCACGTAAAAAACAGAGCTGGTTTACAAAAAGCTGATGTATGACACGGATGGAAATGTTTGAACCAAACATTTATCGCCGTTTTTGGCGTGCTTTGCGATGGGCCTATCGACGATAATTTTTCGATATATTGTGCAGCCCTAGTTGGAAGTGTTCCTGATGCTATATGTGTGTTCTCCCCATCAGCCCCCTGGTCCAGTTCAACCTCCTACACTCTAAGTTCCACCTGTGTTCTGTGCCGACTCGGGCCCTGCTGCTGTCAGCATACATCAAGTTCATTAACTTGTTCCCAGAGGTGAAAGGCACCATCCAGGATGTGCTGCGCTCTGACAGCCAGCTGCGTAATGCAGATGTGGAGCTTCAGCAGAGAGCTGTGGAGTACCTGAGGCTCAGCTATATCGCCAGCACCGACATACTGGTTAGTCAACTGTGTCACTAAAACCATTTTTACTGAACAGTGCTGTCAATTTGCCGCTGCGCCGTGGCGGCATGAGGGACCCTTAGGTTGTTGATAAGTGGTCAGACCGTTGCGTTAATGTGGCGCAATCGTGTCCTTTTTCTAAAGGATTAGGCGATGGTGGCATAAAGGGGGTATGGGGGTGGTCCCCGCGCTGCTACGGACTTCCGTTTATCTTGGAAATAACTTGTTTTTTATTGTGATCGAAGTAAAATCGTCCCCATTAGGTCCTGTGCACACTCTGGTGATCTGAGCTCCAGCTCCAACAGCGAGACACTTATGGAGCACTGCGGCACTCCAGTTTGTCATCTCCGCTGATTTTGTTCATGAAGGAAAACTTTTTGCCCGTGTTTACTTTCATTTTCAGTAGAATTACTGGCTGGAGCTTGGCATTAACTCCCCACGTCATCATGACACCTCCCTCTGTTGCGCCATGACACATTAGCCATTTGTGAGACAGACCATTTGTCAGAGTCCAAGCCCCCAGGCCGGGCTCTCCCAGCTGACCGGCTTCTGTCTCGGACCACATTACCCAGCATGCCCCCCGCGGGGATTTCCTCCACGTTGCACCTGCGTCATCCATGTCTATATATGGAAGACGCCACACCGGCTCTTCACTCAGTCATCGTTCCACCGTGTTCCATGATCAGAGTATTCAGAAGCTAATACAGCTTAACCTCCACCTGTCTAACTCAGACCTCATCCTTCCGTCAGCCTTTCCAGCACCGCTTGCAGCCAGCAGTCCCTAATAAAGCTCGTACTCCCGAAACCAGTCTTCGAGTCTGACAACATTTCTGCAATATTACTACCAAGCGAGGTGTAATGAATGCCGCGAAATTTGCACGACGCCAAATTGTATTGTGTTGACTAATTCTATTAAACCCCTTTAACACCAGAGAGACCATAAGCTCAAACAGCTGCTGCAGTCTGAAGCACCTCACACCTCCAGTTAAGCCCTTTTCACAAGACACACCATGCCGGCGTAATATTACCACAACGTTGTGTTTTATAAATGCGCCATGCCGGTTGTTTTTCCTATTCATTTATTTATTTATTTATTTATTTATTTATTTATTTATTTATTTATTTGGCAATGCTGGAAAGTAGGGCTGAATGATTTAGGAAATGATTGGGTCATTGGGTCAAATAATTGACGTCATCAAACCAGACACGAACAGAGTAAAGCAGAGGAGAAATGTTAGTAAGTTCAGTGAATTTTGCATCCTTCATTCAGGAGGAAAGAACCACCACCATTTTTGTTATGTGGTAAGTGGCAGCTACGCTAAGGCAGAGTAGATTCTGTGGTGGTGTCATATATATATATATATATATATATATATATATATATATATATATATATATATATATATATATATATATATATATATATATATATATATATATATATATTGATTGCAAACAAGATTTGTTTATTTGTACATTTGTAATTTCTTTACTTAAAAAAGGTGAGAGTTACAAGAAGATCAGCAAAGCTTTGCATATCCGTCAGAACGTTGTAGCGAAAGTGATCCAAACATTTAAGAAAGATCGTACAGTGTTCTTGATTGACACGCAGTAAACATAACAAAATACCAATAAAGTAATAAATATTATATATATACATACATAGTTATATATGTCGTATATATGCATCTTAAACAATAACAACACTAAGAAAATAAGAAAAAAACAGAAAAACAACAAAAATCTGCAAATGTGATGCAATCTAATATGGCTGCTACCTGATGACATCACAATATGCAAATTATGTGAGTGAATTTGTTCCTATCACAAAATTTGGCTCATACTGAAGATATTTCTAATTTACTATATTTTTCTATCTCTAACCAGATTTAAGCTACAAGCTCTTTAAATAGTGATAAAATTTCATATTTTACTAAAAAAAACTATGGCGCCTAAAGAGTTAAACATAAGTAAACATTCAGCCAGACTTATTTTACAACCCAGACATCACAATTTTCTAAGACACTTAATTACATAATTACATAACATCTAAGCTCATATTTCATCATTGCTCATTCAGTGTCTCAGTTGATATCACCTTAACTCATTTATAATGATTTGTTCTGCATCACCATAGAAATATAGCAAGAAATAGATGTTTTATATAAACTATATTTTTGCCTCTGTGTCAAATTATTATACAGTGGTGTTCCCTGGCATACCTAAATTACCTAGTTTCATCATCAATCAATATTAAAGGATCCATATTTTAATGGAATATTACATTTTACTGAATACCTTTATATTGCATTGACATATTATTAAAAGTAACCACTTACAAAACAGAAATGCTTAGGTGTAACGGTATCTTTGACATTCGCAATAAAGGACAGTGTGATAAATATTGTGACAGGGTATTATTGTCAGATATTGTCTATTTTAATATTCAAGAGAAACTGAAATATAACCAAGTACAATTTCAGTGGTCATTTCTCATTAAGCTGAAATGGGTGTTATTTGGTATGACAGGAGTTAACCTATTGGCCCTTATCCTGGAGCGCCAACCAAAGGATTACTCATGACAACACGAGTCTGATGTGAAATAAGTATCGGCAAAGGTCCTTACGGGAAATGCTATTTTCTGGTTAATGACCAGACTACAAAATAAATTAGGGAATTTCCAGCCATATGCCATGGTTTAGATCAAAGATTCTTCATGGATGTTTCTCAGTATGTGTACTCGTATGAACTTGTGAACATCATCAAGGCTGACTCAAGTAGTGCTCTAATTCTACGGACATATCATGGCAAGTTTGCTCAAAGTTCCTGGATGTGCATCAATGCATCCTTCTGCGGACTCGGGACAGCAAAGTATCCCATAATGCATTGCCTCACAAACTGTTATACTCTGAATGGCAGAAAGCACTCATAACTCAAAAATACAAAGAAATATAATGTTGTCCGTTATCGTAAATAATTGTGTGTAACCTGTAAAATGTGCTGTGTGTATTATTTTCAGACTATTCGCAATCCCTCGAAATGCTAATTAGCTAATTCACTATCAAAATAAAATCTGCTTTGGTTTAAACATCAATGTTTTGATGAAAAAAAAACGTCTCTTCATTTAACAAGGAATGATGGTATTTTATCAATTTTGGTGAAACGTGGACCAAATATCACTGATGCGTCTGCAGCCTCTCAGAGTTCCTGCTGCTCTAAACAATGAAAGAATATTTTAATTTTCTGTTCCTCACTTCTGATTACCTTCAATGGTGTCTGTTTGTTGCAACCAGCAGGTACAAAACTAGCTTGTTTTTATTTGACTATTTTTCTGTCCTGTCTGTTTATTATCTTCCTGCATCTCCTCTCAATCCTAAAGAGAAACTGCTACCTGGGTTCATATATATTCACCTCATGAGTAACCTTTGAACTGCAGTTCTAAAAGATCTACCGACCGCAAATATAGCGGAGTGCGTGCTCCACGCTGACCGCAGCGGTGAGGTAAAGTCACCGGAGGACGAAACAGGTGATGCACTCCGCTCCACAGCGGCGAAACGCATCAGCCACAAATAAAAGACAGAAAGCATGAAAGGTTATGAGCCGACATCAACGATCGCGTGTTAAGTTTGTTTTCGAGGTGGCGACACATTGATAATGTTACTGTGGCCGCGCTCAGAACGCGTCTGTCTGGAGCGCCAACGATCAGAGCTCTGCGCCTCTCCGCTCTAAATAATCCCTAGAGAGTCCTCATAGATGATGGAAGTAGAACCAGGATCGTTTTTGGGCTCCCCCTGGGTGTGTTGAGGGCTCCCAGGGGAGCCTGTCACCCTTTCAGGTGATCCGGGCTCCCTTTAGCTCGTCTGTAATTCGGACCCTGCTTATAGCACAAGTTGGTCGCTTGAGTTGCCTAGCAGACAGCTCCCGGATCTGGCAAGATCCGGCTCAAATTAAGCCCTGGTTGTAAGGTGTCAAACTGTGGAAAACTGTGGTGTGTGTGTGTGTGTGTGGGGGGGGGGGGGGGCTGTATATGACCAGATCAGCTCCAAAACATAAAACCTATTAACAATAAAACTACTGTGTTTTGTTCGTATGCAGCACAAGCTAAGACCTCCAAACGTTAATTAAACTCAAACCAGATGAAGTTATGAAGACCGTTTGTGTCTCCAGGCAACTGTTTTAGAGGAAATGCCTCCTTTCCCCGAAAGAGAATCTTCAATCCTGGCCAAGCTCAAGAAAAAGAAGGGTTCTAGTAAACTTCCAGACTTGGATGATTCACGACGAAACGTCAACGGCAGCGCCGAACACACTGACGACACAGAGGCTTCAAGCAAGGTGAGCCAGAACAAAAGCACAGCTTTATCTGTTCCTGTCGACTTCCTGTGGGTTTTTATCTGAGCAGAACTCTGTTCGTGTATTCGTTATTTTTATTTCTTCCTGTCTTCACCTCTCTCTGGTTCTTTTCCTCTGTTTCTCTCTCCGTCAGACTTCTCCATCACTATCGGAGGACCTTTTTCCAACAGACAGACCCCACCCTCCCTCCTCTTTTCCCAGCATCCTCTTTGCTAGTACAGGGGTATAACCGTTTAGACAATAAAGTATTATTATACCTTCAGAAGCCGCTGCTTGGTAAAGCTTTAAAGGATTACTAGTAAAAGTGGAAACAAGATACTTTTCTAAAAACCTTTTATCAGCTAGCTTCTGAGTGTTTTGACATGGATGATTCAGCAGCTCCAGCCAGCACCGGCCGTAACCCCACAGCTGATATCTAGGCTGGTGAAGGTTTGGAAATATGTACGTGTGAATGATGATGTCCCCCCTCCCCTCCCAGGGTCCTGCTCATAGTTTCACTGAGACACTGAACCTAAACTCCACTTCCTCATCAAGATCCAGCCTGCTAGTAGATGTATTTTCTGACATCTCTACGTCTGCATCCACAGAAGTTTCAGAAGAACATTTTTCCAGGTGGGACTGTTCTCAGCGCGTGTTCGTGATTGAAAGGGTGGGCTGCAGGAGTAACAAACAACATCATTTTCCCTGTCTTCTTCAGGTTTGTGTGTAAGAGCAACGGAGTGATCTATGAGAACCAGCTTCTGCAGATTGGACTCAAATCGGAGTACCGTCAGAACCTTGGTGAGCCACTCTCCTGAACCATTACTCCATAGTTTTTTACATCCATCCATCCATTCTCTTCTGCTTATCCGGGGCCGGGTCGCAGGATCAATGCCCTAAGCAGAGAGGCCCAGACTTCCCTCTCCCCAGCCACTTGGGCCAGCTTCTCAGAGGGAATCCAAAGGCATTCCCTGGCCAAGAGACACCGTTCCTAGCCTGGCCTGCCGGACTCCTCCTCTAACCCCAAAATTCAACTACCTCCGCTGCGCTCCGGCACGAACTCCACTACTGTAGTAGTTCCACTACTGTGGCCGTGCTGCGGCAGTGCGCCGCCCGCCGTTCCGCCATCTGGCAAAAATAGGATTGATTCTATTTTTGCCGGACGCCGGAGCACCTCCACAGTAAATGGACAGAAATCACAATCGCCCAACAGGAAAGGGAGCAAGCACAACTTCCGTTATTTCACAATAAATCGATAAACAAAAGGCGTTTTTTGTTTCATATGCACAGGTTTAACAACTTTTAACAACTATCGATGGCGGCTGAACTTTAAATGCACTAAAATAAGCCATAAATACAGTTTCTACTATCAAAGTAGTCGCCCTATGTTGATCCAAACACTGCTGATCTCTCAACACAAATGATGGCAGATTAAACAGTTCATTTCGATGCTTCTCCCACACAACGGGTGTTTGGATCTAACTTCTGCGTTTATTGCTCGGACTGTATCGCAATATCTCGAAAATCCCGCGCATGCCTGTTTGCGCACCTCAGGTCTCCGCACCGGAGCGGAGCCGTTGTAGAGCGGGTACAGTATAATTTGAGTTCGGAAGCGAGCGGCAGCGGAAAGCGGGGAGGAGCGGAGATGGTGGAATTTTGGGGTAATTCTGCACAGAGAAAGGGTCTGGGAACCCTCCTATTTAAATGACCCCACCCCTTGAGAATTCTGACCGAGCCAATCAGCGCTGAGTAGCGTACGTTACACACATTGACATATATACTGGACATATATATACTTGACATATATTCATTTCCATAGGCTCCAATAAAACGTTTTTGAGGCCAAATGGGAGGTGGCCACCACCGCCATTTTGACCGTGTCACAGGTTCCGTCAAGCCCAGACAATTCCACAAAAGGGAAGAGAGGAGGAGCTGAGGGTGGGGCTGTAAGGCTGGGATCAACTGACGACACCCGGAGGAACTAGCTACAAGCTAACCTGAAGCTAACCCGAAGCTAACGCGGAGGTGGGAGCTAAGCTAACGGAGGTAGCAACCTAGCTACAACCGGAGTTAACTGTGCACAACACCAGAGCTTCTGAGTCAGAGATACGCCGGGCTGACCGCTGGGTAAAACCGGGTGGAACACAGAGGTCTCAGAGAGCTCCACAAGCCGGCAGCCCGCACAGCAGACAAGCGCCGCTGCGATCTTAGATGCTCAGAGCTGTCGCTGGGGAGAACCGGGTGGAAAGGTTTTCATCCCAGACCTCCACAAGCCGGCAGCCCGCACAGCAGACAGAAGCCGCGATCAGACAGAGATGCGCCGAGCTGCAGGGAGGGGAGAACCGGGTGGAAAACATTGGTTTCCCGAGAGCTCCACAAGCCGATAGTCAGAACCCAGCTCCACCATCATGTTACATGTTAAAATCTAAGCTCAGCTCGGCAGTGACCTAAAATACATAAATATAATTGTACTCACCGAATAAAATGAAGTGGAGACTCCTTGGACGCTCTATTAGTGCAATTAATGCCACAGCAAGTCATTTTGTCCAACAATTGCACAAAAATATCCAAAAAAGAAAATACACACACACACACACACAGAGACTCAAAATCCCGGAACAGTTTCCAGGCCAGACTGAGGCTCTACTGAGGCCTTTCTCCGGAGCTAGCTCTGTGGTCACGTGGGTCTGATGCTCATTAATTATACAGAATTTTAGGCTTTTAATACACTTAATAATAATAATAATAATAATAATAATAATAATAATAATAATAATAATGCATTGAATTTATATAGCGCTTTTCTAGACACCCAAAGACGCTTTCACACACTCTCACATTCACACACTGCTAGTGATGGTAAGCTACTTGTAGCCACAGCCGCCCTGGGGAGGTCTGACAGAGGCGAGGCTGCCATTTGGCGCCGTCGGCCCCTCTGACCACCACTAACACAGGCAAGTTGGGTGAAGTGTCTTGCCCAAGGACACAACAGTAGGATACCCCTGGCGGGAGCTGGAATTGAACCCATGACCGTCCGATCATGAGGCAACCCGCTCTACCACCTGAGCTACTGCTGCCCCACACAGAACTTAAACAGACGAGTGAGGAAACATTCACCCCCCTCTGAGTTGTCATGAGTGTAAACTAGATCATTTAAACCTAGAACATGTTCTGGTACCAGGCTGTAAACATGTTTATTTCTGCTGTGAAATTGGTATTTTTAACATGGGAGTCAATGAGGATTTGCTCGCTTCTGACACCAGCCCCTAGTGGATGAGGGTGGAACTGCAATTTTTGGTACTTCCGGGTTTGGCCCAATTTTAGAGCCGCATTGTGGGGGCTTGGTTACACACCACAACGCTGAGTTTGTCATAAACATGGCGACTGAAGTGGATATTGCTGCGGCTCTTTCCTCTGTTCTAAATGACTTGGACGCGTCTTTTAAACCACAACAAGTAGAAGCGCTAAACACATTTCTTCAAAAAAAACAACAACAAAAAAATAAACAATGTTTGCGCCGTTGCCAGACGCCTTTTTTTTTTTTACTACAGCTAAAAAACTACAGCGTAGCACAGTACAGTCGGCATTTCCGTCTTTTTTCTGATTGTTTATTTTTGAGCTGCCTAGTCCCGCCCCTCATGCCTCTCTGCCTGTGAGTTACCAGACTCTCTCTGTGCAGAATTAGACAGAGGACGAGTCTGGCAGGCCAGGCTATACAGTCCCTCCAGCGTGTCCTGGGTCTTCCGTTGGGTCTACTCCCAGATGTGGAGCATGTGCTCAGAAAACCTCACCAGGGAGCCGTCCAGGAGGTATCCTAACTAGATGCCCGAGCCACCTCGACTGGCTCCTCACATGTGGAGGAGCAGCGGGTCTACTCCGAGCCCCTCCCAGATGACTGAACTTCTAACCCTGTCTCTAAGGGAGAGCCCAGCTACCCTGCGGAGAAAAGTCATTTTTGGCTGCTTATATCCACAATCTCAATCATTCAGTCACCGCCAGTGCTGGACTGACCATAGGGCATAGCGGGCAACTGCCCGCTGGGCCGACCCTTTCATCTTTTATGGGCCGGTGTCTGTTTTTTTTTTTTTTTTTTTTTTTTTTTTTTTTCCTGGCCTCTAGTTGTTGCGGACAACTTGTCCGCGCCGCCCCACGCGACGCCTCGTAAAAGTTGGTGGATTGGCCAATTGGTAATAATACACTGGGCTGGACCAATAGCCAGAGGTCTGATGCACCCGCTAGTTGTTTGTGAATCTCAGTAAACAGACAGACGAGCTTTACAAAATGGAGAACAAAAAACGGAAAGGAGGAGCGGAGAAAATTCGACTAAAAAAGAAACTGGCCCTTCAGGCTGATGCTGGCACATGTGTTAAAATCTCACAGTTGTTTGGTAGTGAAGGTTCAAGTAAAATCAATTTAGGAAGTGATGGAGCCTCAGCCCAGCGACAGGTTGGAGAAGAAAAGAGGGAGGAGGAGGAGAAACCCGAGCCGGTGTTGTGCCATAAATTGACTCGCTGCCAAAAAATGATTAGCCACCGCGGGATCGCGCACGGTTAGGTAATTGCATTTCTAGACAAAATTCCCCAGGATTTCGCCCTAAAACTCAGTATATCTAGCAATATGGACATTCAGAAAGCAAAGATAACCTCTTCCGGTACTTAAACAGATGTTTATCGCGGATATTAGTGTGGCAGTGTTTGTGGCAGCCTGCGCGGGAGCACGAGGACGTGCTTGTGGAAAGAGGGAGGAAGATGTGGCAGTGTGAGCATCCACAATGTCCCGATTGATCATGCGCCCTGGCTACTGGGCCAAGGAGATGTCCCTTTGGCTGACTGGTTAGAGCGTATGACTCTCACCCGGGAGTCTGGGGATCGAATCCCGCCCGGGCACTCCTTTCTGCACCTTGCCACCAGTGGCGGTTCAACATCGAATTACTCCCCGGGCGAGGCCCCCTTTGAGCGCCCCCCCCCCAACTGCCCTCCCCACCACCACACCACCCCACCTGCACGAACACACACGTTTTCCATAAACAGGCATGTTTTATTAGAACGACTATTGAACATTCATTTTTCTAAGTTGCACATATTTACATTAATTACTATGAAGTTGTCAGAATGTAAAGCAATACACATTATATACTGTATCAAAATATATAGAATCAAATATACAAAAACAAACAATAACTAAATATTAAGAATATATGAACATAATATATAATAAATATTCTAAATAGCAAAAATATTTCACACATAACAAACTAAAGATAATCACTACAGCATTGCACTTAGAACAGAAAACACAAACTAAAATTAAAACCTAACCTTGATGCAACGTCATCAATAATGTCATCATATGAAATCTGCTCCCCTACTGAGTGATTGATACTAATCAGAGCCAGGTTAGTGAGCCGCCCCTGAAACATAGGTGACCTCAGGTATGACTTGATCAAGTTTTGAAAAGCTCCTCTCAGCTTGAGCCACAGTGACTGGCAGAGCAGTCCAAAAGTTGGGGTAGATCTCCAATAGATCTCATGATCCATGATATTTTACAACTGCCTCTGAAATTGTAATTTAAACTGACATAAAAAACTGTAGACTACTAAAAATGCCAACTTTTACAGAACAAATCAGGTAAAATAATCAGTGCAGCCATCTGCAATAAATAAACAGGATAGTTAATGGTGACTGGGGTGTTTTCTTCTGCTTGTACAGTTGTTTTATTTATTATTATGTGAACATGATCAACATGTGTTTGTTGTTGTTCAGGCAGGCCACAGGCTGCAGCGAGCATTTAACAAATCCTAG